GTATCCATACTGGTCTTCTCACAGTAACTTTCGGTCAATCAGGTGTGTCAGAGGGGCTGTTCTTGGAGTCGAAGGTGCAGAACAGAGAACCCAAGTGACCATGCAGCTCCTTCAGGAGTAGTGGTACGCTTATATGATTCAAAAACTTCCAAATATCAAGAGAACCATTGCAAATCAAACACCAGTTATTTCCAATTCTACTATTATCCTTCTCCACATCACCTGCATTGCAGCTAAGCCAGTTTATACAATATACAGTACAACCTTTTCCAAACATTAATGGAGCCAACATAAATCAGGCACCAATTATTTCATTATTCTGCAGCACTGCACAATAAGCCCCTTGGTTCAACTAAGGGCCCCAATCCTTCTCTTGTTCACTTTCTATTACCCTTCCTGTGTCTGTGTATCTATAGATATCCCTTCTAGAGGAGTTCCAGGCACACAGGACCCCTTTATCGGGGTAGAGTGATATGTATTTCGTCTTCCTCTATCCCCCAACTTGAGATCCTTAGCTGCAAAGCTCAGGTCCTGACTTATAGCTGTGTAATGTAGCAATGTATTGCCTGGGCGCATGCTGGGCATCATGTCCCCCAAGTGCACTACCTACCACATGTTGGTGAAGTATTCGCTCTCTTAACCCATTTCTACCTGGGCTTAGTTTTGTCCCCTTGGACTCATTGGGTGGAATGTGCCTAGAATCCTCCTTTAGGTACCCCTTGGTTCTAACTAATATGTGAGGCCCCCGGTTTGGCCTAACCAGCCCCACCAGTAGTCCATCCCATACCTGCTTCAGGCCTTATGGAAATGGACCTTAATAGCAGCTTCACCCAGCACTAGTTTGTTTCCAGAGGATGTCCCCATGGAAGAGGAAAAGCAATGAAAGCCCTTCAAGGGTTTACTGGAATGCAGTTAATGACATATTTACATCCTTTCTGCCATCCCTTTGGTGAGATCACTTTCTTTAAGTTTGAAATGGATAGCAACAGCAGGAGAGATTTGAGCTGAGTTGAAGGGCAGCCCCTGCCGTAAAGGTTTCATCCGAGTCCTATGTTCCATGTAAAGGGAATGTGATGAGTCCCATCAGTCCTCTCATTCCTTGCTTTCCCCTAAGAACCAAAAAACTAGAGCCTTCAAGGTCACATCTCTGCCGTGGCTTGATCCTTTCACTGATTCCAGTGATGACCAATCACCAGAACAATTTATTTTGAGCCCTTTTTCCCAAGATTCCCCATACTGGCAGGGGTAGGACTGGCACCTCACTTCAGCATCTATAGTCACACCCCCACTCACTACTCTGGGGGGGGGCTCTAGTTACACTGCCTACTCTAACTATGACTCTAACAATAGTGACACCAAGTGGTCAGTTTGGGGAATTTAAAGTTCTCGTGTTCTCAGAGTGCTCCAGCCAAAACCTGCTTCATAGTTGGCTCATATTTAGCCAACGTTGCTGCTCCTAATGTCGTACTCTAAGCTGGCTAGGTAAAACTTAATGGGTAATGAGGGTCCCAGTACTCCTATATGGATCTGATGGGACTTTTACACTCAAACTGAAGAGACAAAGTAAGGATCAATAACATGGCAAATACAAACATTAAATAGATAAGCAGTATTAATGCATAGCTGAAATTCTTAGATTGTTCATTAAGTCTAATTGTGACCAGTTCTCTTTCATACCAACCTGGGCTTAGGCAGTTAAGTGCCATTTCTTCTAGGTTAGGTTATGTGTGCCTCAGCACACACACATATTTGATGGAAAATAGTATGGCGTCATCTATATTGATCCCGTCACATGGTCTGCACCACATGGGCTGCACCACAAAGACTTGAACCACATGGCCTGCACCACAAAGACTTGAACCACATGGCCTGCACCACAAAGACTTGAACCACATGGCCTGCACCACAAAGACTTGAACCACACGACCTACACCACATGACCTACTCCACACTTCAGCAATGCCACTCATTGACGCTTGTTGGACACCCTAGCACCTTCCACTAATATCTCTGCTGTTGACTACCAACACAATGGGCAAATCCAATTATTCACTCAGCCATCAGTTCTATCTAAGTGAAAACAAATGAATATACAGAACAAGTAAACATATGCAGTACTTAAAGCAGAATAACATCTTTTACAAGAGTGTTTCAGGAAAAAGCCACCATAATCCACACTACGCGTCATCTTCACCCAAACCATGAAATTGATGAGATTCATTGCTAAAAGCAACTCAAGAGAGACTAAACATTGTCATATTTTCTGCTTTTCTGGTTTTTTTTAGATGTTTGCAGTAAGAAGACAAGAAATCCCTTCACCAATTCATCGGGACTCCTCCCCTTCTTCCCTGACTCCCACTTTCTTATCGCCTTCTACTTTATCCCCTTTTTCCACATCCCCCCGTTCCACATCCCCCCGTTCCACATCCCCCCGTTCCACATCCCCCGTTCCACATCCCCCCTTTCCACATCCCCCCGTTCCACATCCCCCCGTTCCACATCCCCCCTTTCCACATCCCCCTCTACTATTTCCCCATTGACCTCTACCCTGTCTCCTGTTTCATTATCACCTACAACCCCCCACACTGACTGCTCTCTGAAGTGTCTGATCAATGACCGAGAGCTGAACCTATTGGAGCGTCTGGGGGTGGTTGCTTTGGTGTGGTCAGGAGAGGAGAATGGAGGATTTCCAATGAAAGAACAGTGAGTATTCTCTTCCTTTATCTATTCTGGTTCTCTGAGTTTTCGGGCCTCCTATCATGTTCTGTCTCAATCATCTACTACATCTTTGCAGATGAGTGTTGCAGTGAAAACCCTCCATGTGGATTCCACTAGTGACCCTGATGCCCTTCAGGATTTTATGCAGGAAGTGAATGCGATGTATGCCTTGGAACACCCACATCTCATCCGACTCTATGGCGTGGTTCTAACACAGCCCATGAAAATGGTGAGTGACTGGCACTCATCTTACTGGGATAACTGGGAGAGAGTAAGGACTTGTTTACACTTGCTCCAAAATGTGGCATTTGACACAATTTTTTAAAGCACTTTGAATGGCAATAAATGATCTTGTCACTAAATAAAATGGTCACCTTACAGTCTTGTTTGCACGTTGTATTTGCTTTGTTTAAAAAATGACACCCCCGTGTTGCTTTCTCGGTGCATCTCCAAAGCCTCCACAGATGTTTATGACAATGATCTCAAGCAGGTTTTGAGAGATTTTTATTCAGCTTTAGCTTTACTTTGTTGTGGAGTGTGGCGGAACCGTTAAGCCTGGGCTTCCTCATGCAGAGCGATGCATCTCAGCCAATGGTCCCCTTTTCCAGTAAATCTTCCAGCGCTCTGCCAAGGCGGGTATTAGAGCTCAAAACCAATTCTTCCCTGATATCCCAAACCACGAGTCGGAACTTTGTGTAGGGTAAAATTAATTAATCTTTATTGAACACAGTTCAGTATATACAGCTGCACCCCGACCCCCACCCCCACCAGACAGCCTGGCACCGGGTTTTCCCCACCCACAAAAAAAACCCTACAACCCAAAAATACAGTATGAACTCTATAGAAGTGAAAGACTACAAGGTCACATTTCCCTAAACAAACAGTGTAGAATGTTTGTCTGCATGACATCTGCTAAACATATACAGCTTTACCGAGGGGAGAGCGGGAAGACCACTTAGCAAGGGAGAACGGGAAGACCACTTAACAAGGGGAGAACGGGAAGACCACTTACCGAGGGAGAACGGGAAGACCACTTACCGAGGGGAGAACGGGAAGACCACTTAACGAGGGGAGAACGGGAAGACCACTTACCAAGGGGAGAATGGGAAGACCCCTTAACAAGAGGAGAACGGGAAGACCACTTAACAAGGGGAGAACGGGAAGACCACTTAACGAGGGGAGAACGGGAAGACCACTTAACAAGGGGAGAATGGGAAGACCGCTTACCAAGGGGATAAAACCAGAACAGAAAGGGCAAAATGTTTTTACAAAGGGACAGTTCATCACATGGAGGTATTGCCAGAATGAGATATCCCAGAATTCACTAGGTAACCAACAAGCGAACCAGAAAGACATCATCAGTAGTTACTTTCGGCTCACGTATATACTGTATATTCTGGGAGTGTATGGTGCAGACGTTACATCTGGTGTACAGCGTTGAGCAGTAGGAAGGTGAGCGGGCTCTGGACCGGAGTGGAGGAGGAAGAGGATCAGCAAAACCAGAGCTGGGAGTTACTACTGAGTGGGAGAACAGCAGAGCTGGGGGTTACTACTGAGCAGGGGATCTGCTGAACGAGGGTACCAAACAGCTGGGGATCTGCTGAACAGGGGTACAAATGAACCGGGGGTCTGATGAACAGGGTTACTAATGAGCTGGGGATCTGCTGAACAAGGGTACCAATCAGCTGGGTATCTGTTGAACAGGGGTACCAATGAGCTGGGGATCTGCTGAACAGGGTTACTAATGAGCTGGGGATCTGATGAATAGGGTTACTAATGAGCTAGGGATCTGCTGAGTGGGGGTACTACTAAGCTAGGGGTCTACTGAGCCCCTTTAAAACAAATAAAAGATCAAACACACGCACAAGACATTTGCAAAGCATCATTAAAGCTTCACTGAAGCATCAAAAACGCTTCAAAAAAGCATATTGAGGCAATAGGCACTTTATTGTGTGTTAAAGTTGAGGCAAGAGTAAACGGGCCCTAAATGTCATTTACACAAGAGAAGCACAATGACGGAAGGGATACCTGCCCCTTATTTTATCACAATGACATCCTCCTGTAGGGTGACACAGAAGAGGGCTATGGGTCTGTCCCTCCTTCTGAATGGTTACAGAGGTATTATGTATAGATTTGTATAATTTGGACCTTTTTTCTGTTTTTTTGTGTCTAAGGTTACAGAGTTGGCACCTCTCGGATCCTTACTCAGTCATCTGCACTCCTATAATGGCGTGTATCCTTTGCAGCTCTTGTGGTTATATTCTATCCAGATTGCCTCTGGGATGTGCTACCTTGAGACATGCAAGTTCATCCACAGGGACCTGGCAACTCGGAATGTGTTGGTGATCAGTGAAAAGGTGGTAAAGATTGGAGATTTCGGATTGACAAGAATTTTGGCGACAAATGACGATCATTACACCATGTCTCCTCACCGAAAGATACCCTTCGCATGGTGAGGATGGAATTCAGCATATTGTTGGGTAGTAAAGTCAAGTGAATGGTCTATCCTGTATTGTGAGGAGTAAGATCCAACCAAATCTAAGGCTGGGTGGGTTATGTTTGGAAAGTCTTAATCACTAATAAGTTCATTATTTTCCTCTGTGTGGTAGGTGTGCTCCAGAGAGCTTGAAGTTTGGCAAGTTTTCACACTCAAGTGATGTCTGGATGTTGGGGGTCACCATGTGGGAGATGTTCACCTATGGACAGGACCCGTGGCTTGGCCTGAATGGGAGACAGGTAATGTATAGATCCTGATGAGCAGTAGTCTCCATATTATGACCTGTGGGCCAGACATGGCCCTTCGCTTGCCTTTATTCAGCCCTTGAGACACAGTTCCTCACCCTGAGACAAGGCATTAAGCCTCCTGCTGTCACCAACAGTGGGGCATCATTCCTTACATTAACAACAACAATGGGGCATCATTCCTCCAACTAATACCAATGATAGGGCACTATTCATCCTCCTACTGGCCAAAGGCACCATGTAACTTTCTTACTCCCACTGACTACCAAGCCTGAGACATTGTCAACTCCCACTGATCAGAGTATGCCCCCCCCCCCCCTAAAATCCGAAGGACAGTAAACGGGCCCCTGCTGTAGAGTGCCATCAATCACTTGCAGTCCTGAAGTTGGTAAATGTCTCCATTTCTCTAGATTTTAGCTTCAATTGAAAGAGAGTCTGAACGTCTGGAATGCCCCGAAGATTGTCCTCCTGCTTTGTACAATGTGATGATGAAATGTTGGGCGTACATACCGAAAGAGAGACCAAATTTTACCTCTCTCATCAACCTTCTGCAAGAGGTGAGTGACCTGTTAATATTATCAAAGAAATCAAAGACATCTGTTTTAAATATTATCTTCTTATTCTGAAAGAACGGTCCATGAACTGTCTGCAATATTGTCCTGTAGTGTACCCTTTGATGGATCCATAAGGAGCCTCTTTCTGGATTCAGAAGATGAATCTCTGATATTGTCCTTTACCCTAATGTACAATGGACTAGGAAGACTATCACCATTTGTGCCCTCTACTTTTATCTTTCATGGGTCCTAGAGGTCTGTCTTCAACTTTGTCCTCCACTCTGACATAAATGCATCTGGAACATCTATCTCTGTTTTGCCTTGTGCTTTGATCTGCAATGGATCTAGGAAGTGATTGACCTTTGCCTTCACCTTTCATAGATCCTGGTAGTCTTTCTCCTCTAAAATATATCCAAGAGATCTATCTCCGATGTTTCTGTAAACCAATCTCAAATGAGTCTTGGATTTATAGTCTTCCCCTAATCTGATTTGATATCTCCAATGTTATGCTTAATACTAAAATAATTTCAGATCTATCACCAGAGAGCTTCTACTTGTTGGGAGGTGCGGTGTGGTGGGGCAGCAGAATATACGTAGGGTCCAATTACAGAAAACAGACATTGTATTACAGTCAAAGTTCAGCTGTACAAACAGCCCGTCAGGAAGGTGACCAACCAGGTAAACTCACAGGTTGTAAAAGCAATGTGGAACAGAGCAGGTCCTAGCAGTGACCCCAGCATCTGTCTCAGAGGGTAGCTTGTGGCCTGGTTAGTCTGTACCCAAATGGAACGATACCAGGGAGGATGGAGGATGGTGTGTCCCTATCCTACCCCTTCTTGTCTATAATCTTCTTTAACTTTGACTGTTTGCTTTCCCTGACAGACAGGTGACCTGTCCCTATACTACCCACTTGAATAAAGCACACGAAACCCAAAAACCAGGGTCCTAAATAGACTCTTCCTGACCCAAGATGGACACCAGGGTCATATGGGGTGGCAGCATCCAACCAAAGAGCTTCTCCAGTGATCCAGGAGACCATTAGAGGAGCATTGTTCCTCTTGACTTCCTCTCCCTCTGCAATTCCGCTGTGGTTGAGCAACACCTGCAGTGGAGAAAGTAGAATGCACCTGTCTACATATGAAACATGATAATATGAGATGTTTATTAATATAAAGTCTCAGTTGCTGTCATTTCCTTAGTGCTGCAAACCAGTTCCACTCCTTACTCTTTATATGACCTCTCTTGATAGTTCTTTAATCAATATAAATCTTCTTCCTTCTCCAGGCGAAACCAGTAGAGGTACGAATTCTTCATGAAGTTAACAAACTCCTCCTGTCTGCCCCTGGATGCTGGGGATGTTGTCACTGTTGTTGATGTTGGGTAAGAAAAAATATTTGTTCTCTATCCCCGTGTACCTCCATTTTCCTTTCATCTCCCATCATACACGGTTCATAACCGGTCATCATTCCTCTTCTACAATGAATCTGTCTCTCCTCAGTTAACATACATATCAATATTTCCTTGCTGATCATTCTTTATCCATCCATCGTTCATGCTGATCATTGTTTATCCATCCATCGTCCATGCTGATCATTCTTTATCCATCCATCGTTCATGCTGATCATTGTTTATCCATCCATCGTTCATGCTGATCATTGTTTGTCCATCCATCGTTCATGCTGATCATTGTTTGTCCATCCATCGTTCATGCTGATCATTGTTTATCCATCCACCGTTCATGCTGATCATTGTTTATCCATCCATCGTTCATGCTGATCATTGTTTGTCCATCCATCGTTCATGCTGATCATTGTTTGTCCATCCATCGTTCATGCTGATCATTGTTTGTCCATCCATCGTTCATGCTGATCATTGTTTATCCATCCATCGTTCATGCTGATCATTGTTTATCCATCCACCGTTCATGCTGATCATTGTTTATCCATCCATCGTTCATGCTGATCATTGTTTTATCCATCCATCTTTCATGCTGATCATTGTTTATCCATCCATCTTTCATGCTGATCATTCTCTTTATCCATCCATCATTCATGCTGATCATTCTTTATCCATCCATCATTCATGCTGATCATTGTTTATCCATCCACCGTTCATGCTGATCATTCTTTATCCATCCATCGTTCATGCTGATCATTCTTTATCCATCCATCGTTCATGCTGATCATTCTTTATCCATCCATCATTCATGCTGATCATTGTTTATCCATCGTTCATGCTGATCATTGTTTGTCCATCCATCGTTCATGCTGATCATTGTTTATCCATCCATCGTTCATGCTGATCATTCTTTATCCATCCATCTTTCATGCTGATCATTGTTTATCCATCCATCTTTCATGCTGATCATTCTTTTATCCATCCATCATTCATGCTGATCATTCTTTATCCATCCATCATTCATGCTGATCATTGTTTATCCATCCACCGTTCATGCTGATCATTCTTTATCCATCCATCATTCATGCTGTTCATTGTTTATCCATCGTTCATATTGCTGATCATTGTTTATCCATCGTTCATGCTGATCATTGTTTGTCCATCCATCGTTCATGCTGATCATTCTTTATCCATCCATCATTCATGCTGATCATTGTTTATCCATCCATCGTTCATGCTGATCATTCTTTATCCATCCATTGTTCATGCTGATCATTGTTTATCCATCCATCGTTCATGCTGATCATTCTTTGTCCATCCATCGTTCATGCTGATCATTGTTTATCCATCCATCGTTCATTATCTTCCATTTGTCTTCCACTATCCATAATCCGTCTACTTGATCCAAAGAAGGGTATGGCAGCAGCAGGCCAATTGGCCAAGGCTTTCCTTTATTTTACCACAGACTTAAGTTTTCCTTGTGGGATTTCTTCTGAGGCCACCTTGCAGATCTACTCCAGAGCCTTGGCTTCCCTTTAGGCCCCCTTCATCTTAAAGACACTCAAGAGCAAGGCTTTGTTTCTCAGAGAATAGGTGCAGGAACTCCCTCCTTCTGAGTCGCCTTTTTTGTCTGCCCCTTACCCACCTCTGAGCACCATCGCCTGGTTCCACCCCTATCCACCTCCCAGTACAGCCCCTTATAGAGAATACAGAACACAGTATCATTTTGAAGTGCTAAGTAATTAGAAAAGCAGTACAATAGATCCCTTGCAGCCAGCAACAATAGACACTCCAGCAACAATAAATCCCCCCAGCAACAATAGACTCACCAGCAATAATAATTCCCCCCCCTAGCAACAATATACCCCTGAAACAAAATACACCCCCAAACAACATTAGATTCACACCAGCAACTGTATATCCCCACCAACAACAAAATATCTCCCAGCAGTCAGTAACAATAAACACCTCCCTCAACAGTAGATACCTTCCAGCAACAATTTATCCCCCAGCAGTTGAAAATAATAAACCCCTCCCTCAACAGTAGATCCCTTCCAGCAACAACTGACCCCCCCCCAGCAGTTGGTAATAATAATATACCCCTCCCTCAACAGTAGATCCTTTCCAGCAACAATTGATCCCCCAGCAGTTGATAATAACAAACCCCTCCCTCAACAGTAGATCCTTTCCAGCAACAATTGACCCCCCAGCAGTTGATAATAAGAAACCCCTCCCTCAACAGTAGATCCCTTCAAGCAACAATAGACCCCCCAGCAGTTGATAATAATAAAGCAGCCAGTAACAGTAGACCCTCCAGAACACCGCAGCAAACCTTGCCATTACGTACATTAAAAGCTGGAGGTGTCGGAACTGCATTCCCCTGGGTTCCCACTGAAGAAAAGCCCTGCTCCAGACTGTTCCAGCTTTATCTTCTCAGGTGGCAACTACTGTACATATATGAAACCAACCCAAGCAGATTTTATTTCCAAGAACATGAGTGTTTCATTTGTACTAGTACTTTTGTGTTCATGTATTGCTTGATAAGACTTTTCTAAATTCCTTCCCACAGGTCAGACTCTAAGCTCTGGAGAGGACAGAATCAGCGGACTCTTAAGATTGGAACTTTTCCCGCAGGTGTCATCTGTTCAGAGGACTTTGCCAATGCCTGTAACTCTGTGCACTTGTCCAAGAGTCTGGAAAAGCTTTCTCTAAGGAATGATAACTCACAGAAAGAGTAAGCCTCTTACTTCCTCTGAGTAAAT